AAGGTCGCAATGTGACTGGTAATGAGACTTTTCAACTGCGCACGCTAACATCTGCGGCTGAATATCTACACAAAATATCGAGAAACGCATCGAGCAATTCTTATCCGATACCGAAACTTTATCTTTTAGGCCGTGACGGCAATAATTCAACATCTCACTCTGAACCAAGAAAAAATCTTTCACTCAATAAATAAATAAAATATAACTCAGTACTCACTGCAGTGAGTGACAGAGCGCGTATTTGCTCGTCGACGAAAACGTGAAGTCAGACGGATGACGTGCAGTCAGTGCAACAGACGGACAGACGGACATGGCGAGCACAATGGTGCATTTTTTCCATAAATGAGAAAATGCGCTAAAAATTTTCACCTGTAAATCAGCATCAGTTAAGCAAATGTTCTGTGAAGAAATGAGAGCCATCACATGGACGTATATAAGGCCTCTGCCACGGCAAGCGGCCACCAACACCCGCCACAGATGCTCCGACACGCGCGACGTCCACGCTACAACATCTCACTTCTATTTCGCTGCAGAAACTTGTTCCTCATCATTTTTATAACAGGCACTTCCTGTAGCAAACTAGAGTTATGCTACAGAAATTTTTTTTTGAATTGTAAGATTTCAAAGCGCTTGCAAGTGTAAATGAATTGAACTAAGGCGAGGTAAACACAAATGTGGAAAAATCCCCAAGAGGTTCGATACAAGCATGCATGCTCAACCGAAGAGCTGAATGGAATCTATGCCTGAGGAAATTGAGGAGCTTTGCCAACAAAACAAATTTAGATGGTCTCAATGTTTGGTTTGAAGTCAGCAATGAGGATTTTTCTACCGGACTGTTGTAATATAATTACATGAACACGAATAGAGCGCTATTCTTCCGTCACATCGATTAAGAACATACAAACTACGATTTAAACACTCTTACGTCGAAAAATACTGCGTGTGGAAAACAAGTGGCAGATACTTCAGGCCAAACTCTCCCACAACCCTTATTTACGCAACAATACTGTTATGGTTGCAACTCGAAAATTCAATGAACTACTTATCAGTAGAAAAAAATTCAAAATACCTGCGATCAATGCAAGAAGAAGATTCTTGGCTTTATTGATGTTCTTGAGGTACTTCATTTGGTGCGGCTCGGAGTAATTTCTTTCTCGTATTGTGATCCCGGAAACTTGTGTGCTAGCAGTTGTGCTCCTTGCACTACGGGTGACGTTATTTATCAGGTCGGGCAAAATGGACTCAACGGGACGAATTCCATCGTTAGAATTCAAATTTTTTGAATGAGGAACGGCAGAGTTGTTAGACTTGCAGCAGCAATTTCCCTCACATTTGCCATCGACAACAATATTGCCAGGAGAGCAACGGCACGTGCAGAGCTTGTTTTCGTATGCGCAAGTAGGGTTGTTTCCGACGCCCTCGTCACCGCTTCGGTTATTGCAACTGCTGCTGCTGCGACTATTGTTGTCGTCTTCATCGCTACACCGACTGTTACAACCACTATTGCAGCTCTCATAGAGTTCGGTGCTGCTCCGACTGTTGCAACCACTATTACAGTTCTCAGAAACTTCAGTGCTGCTCCGACTGTTATATCCACTGCTGTCACTGCCGCTGTTGCAATTTCTAGATTTCTCGTCACTGCCGCGACTATTATAACCACTACTATAGTTCTCAGTTCCACTGGCACTCGTATACTCAGTGCATACGTTAGGCTCAGTATCTACGCGGTCGCTATTGCAGCAACAACTACTGCAGTGACAGGTCACATCAAAGTTCTTGTTGGGTTTCCAAACGCCGCGGTCCTTACGGAGCTCCAATTTTGAGCCTCCTTTGCATATTGTTTTTGGTGCGGGATGCTGGGCAGTTTGATGAGATGCAAGGAGCAGATGATGCCTTCCCTCTGAGACGAGATGACCAGGAGTCATGTCAAATGAGTCCACGTTTAAGCTATCTCCATCAACGTGTTCAACGTTTATTATCAACGCTCTAGAACCCGAGTTGCATGTATCGAAAGGACCTAATTCGTCTACACTGAACTTCGAAGCATCGCTTGATTCGAGACTAGCGTCTTCCTTATGAATGGGTACTATGTCAGAATATAAGTTTACGCATTTCGTAGGCAACACCACAGAACTTTCATCAGAAAAAAGTTCGTTGGAGATACACAGGTTGACATTGTCGACATCAACTGCGTCTGACTTGACGTAGGTTGGGTATCTCGGGATGTTGACGTCGGCTCCTAACAGTTTATCGCTCAAGCGAAATCGCAGCAATTTTTTCAAGATTGAGAAACAGTCCGCCTCAGAAAAAGATTGTTCATGACTCTTCGGAGACATAAATGGCGTGTGGTTTTTTATTTCAATCGATTTGTGCCTTGATTGCGCACCAAACGATTTGTCGAGATCTGGGGTGAATACATCGTGAGTCAGGGAATAATTTTCGTTGCAACCGCTATGTCCGATGCACACAATGTTCCCATCACTGCATTGCCGCAGATTTTTTCCAGTAGTTTTTGCCATGGCGGGAATATTTCGTGAAAATTCCAGCGACGCAGCGCCATCGGTTTGTGTTCGAGGTAAGCTAGATTTCGCACTATGAAGACCGGCCAATTTACTCAACTTTATTCCAGCAGCTTCCACAATAGATTCTATGTTGGCTTCTTCGTCGACTAACTGCGCCTTAGAAGACGCAACGGCCGCTCCCAGGCTGTTGCTCGTCCATTCGTTGCAGGGAAGCGGCCCAAAGCTACGGACATTTTCGTCACTGAGATCTACGTCATTCGAGTAGTGCCGCGTAGAATTTTGGTCTAGTGATTGCGGTGTTCTTTTCGGACGACGTAAGTCCGCTTCAACGCCGCAATCAATTCTGCACTTCTCGTCTTTGCTTAAAATGTCACTACAATCAGACCGTAGAAACAGCACGCGGAACATAAACGCTATCAGGAAACGATCCAAACGAGAAAAATTATCAGCACGATCAGTCGATTGCACCTTCTTTGTTGGTATAATGCCGACCCTTGGATGCTCTTCAGTGATCGATTTTAGATTTTTGTTTGTATGCAAATCAGGATACTCCTGTTCAGACGGAGCAATAAAGTCATGGGCGACCGCTTCATCGTACAATCCAGCGCTCGCCTCAGCGCCGTACCAAGCGCCGCTCCTCAGGGAGATCAGCAGCGCCGGGTCATCGCCGTCTTCGGAAGGCATGGCTACGGCGCCCACGGGGCAAGTTGCGCAACTATAACATTCTGCAGTATTTATCAGTTAACAAAGCCTTTAAGTGTGATACTCGTGTTCCACCGATTTCGAAAAACCGTCCACCGTCCAAAGTACAACGCATCTGCTACTAGACGAACAATAAGCCTCCGTCCGAGGAATGCACAAAACAGGAGTTCTGCCGAAGCATCGTCTTGTTCTGCAGCCCAACGAAACTAGCGTCCCATCAGCGGACGTACTTGGCGCCGACATTTGGGGCGGCACAGCAACCCAAGTCAGTGTGAAGTGACGGTTTGTTTGCTGTCGATGAATATGTATATCAAGCACCGAGATCCGCAGGTCCGAATTTGTACCTCTCAGTTCGAAACTAGAGTAGGAAATTTCAGCTTTAGTAGTTGAGGGTAATTGGGCACCAGGACTGGTGTGGTTGTGGCTACGTCGCCGACTGTGGAGAACTGAGAGCAATCGCGAGCGCGCCTCACGAGAACGACTGGAAAATGCGCAGCGTTGAGAAGATCTGCTCACGGGTTTAGCAGCTAATCCCATCCCGGTCAGGTGTCAGGAACATGTGTTCACGAAGCACGTTCCTTGCATGTGTTGGGGCAGCACGTTCCTTGCATCTTGTATGTGTTCGGTACCCACAGCTTCTCTGCAGCACGTTGCTTTTAATACTAGACCGCACCATGCGCTATTGTGAAGCTCTAATAATAGACAGACCTATCACTGAAACCCGAATGTGTTATGAGCAATTTATAGTGAAGCCCTTCCTGCGATGGGTGATGGTGTGCCACTCATGATAGAGTGACCCATCACTGTACACCGCCGCAATGTATAGTTAACTCAGTTTTCGGAACCGCTCAAGTGAAGCCTCTCCCATACTCACATGGCATTCATTCAGGAGATTACGACCACATCCGCACTTATCAAACTTAAGAACTACGGGAAGCTGGCCTTGCATTCTCGCACATTCTTAAAGATACGGGAGGATTAGAAACCGGTAAGGAGGAAATATTTTCATTGAAAACCATTTGCGAAAAAATTTAAGAGCAAAAAATACAGGTATAACATGCTGAAATACATAAGTAGAAACAAAGCGCACACTATTCAACGTTAACTCGCTTACAATGGGCACGAAATCGCCAGATGAGTTTGTCTGCGGTGAATAAACTAAATGAAAACGCAGATCCAAGTTCGTCTATTAACGCGCATGAAATTAATACGTGCGAAAAAATTTCAAACTATAATTGTTTAATTGCCTTCTTACTGTTTGTAGACGTGGGACCAATTGATAAGATGTGAGAAAAGTCCTATTCAAATTAGCAAAAACAATAATGGAAGCAAAAAAAAATGTATACCACACTGTACCTCTCAACAGGCACTGGGAAAAATTCATGGTGATTAATAAAGTATAATGAAGATAATGTAACAAAACAAATTGAAACTATAATAATGATACATAATGAATTAAATTTTCCCTCTCTTGATTTTGGAACTTGCTTCAAATGGATGATTTAACCCTCCACCGCCGTACGTTACTCTCCGGGAACATAGCTTTCAACCTAAATTATACCTACGTAAACTATTGAGTGTATCAGCCTGAGGACGTTTGTACGCAACAGAGAACATTTTAAAGTTGTACGTGGCGGCAACCATCAGAGCAAGTCATTTTGCGCTCACTAGCAACATATCCTTTTCGGGAAGTAGGCTTGTGACAATATTTCTCCGGTTAGTCATGTCAGGCGGTAGAGGGTTAAATAAAGAGGCCGCCTAGCGCTCGTGTCTGACCTGGCTTGTGGAAGTCGGAGAATATCCTGCTGGTGGAGAGGGAGAGTCTTCGGCTGATGCGTGTGAACGCAGGGGTCACCGCACCCCCTGGAAACGTGGCAAATTATTCAGTGTCCAAATACTTGAGCAAACATCAACGCTATTTCTACCTACAGACGAAGTAATGAGCGATACCGCCAGTATACAGGTGTAAAATTACCCTTTGTACAGGGATAATATGTTGACCTTCGGCAAAGCTATGGTACCTAGAGGCCTGGTAACGAGAGCTAGCGTCAGCAGAGTAAAGTGTTAGCCCGTGACCGTTGTTTCGATATAGGATTTCGCACTCTCCCTGGAATATCAGCATTTGAACGCAACTGACTATCGCAATTTGAATCAACAAAACAAATAAAGAGTACGTCATAGCCTGAATATCAGCATTTGAACGCAAATGACTATCGCAATTTGCTTCAACAATACAAATAAAGAGTACGTCATAGCCTGAAATAATAAACTGTTTAGTTCGAAGCAGAACTGCACCGATATTATGCGACTTACAAGAATATCGCATCATTTATTACTGTACAGCAACTGAAATACTGCGAGTGAATGTAATAAAACTGATAAATCCAAACTGATTGAGTTATTTCATAACGGAAATTATTTCTCTGCTTTCAACATTATCCATTTCAAGATTGACATCATTCAATTTACCCAACAAATATTTGTATCATTACTCATAGATGATACATAAATATATGTATATAAATTAATATAAATATATTAAATGCTCATAAATATTTTTTTTAACATTGTTGATTTTACATCATTAATAATTCAACATACCGATATTTACGAAAATCTCACCCAGAGAGAACAGGTCTTGAATATTTCCTAATAGAAACTCCCCAGTGTTAAATAAGTTTACTACAAACATGATATCCATGCTGGGCAATACCTCGGATCGGCAAAATTTCAAATCGTTTTCAGAGTAATTTTCAACCTTCCGTTACAACTCTACACAGAAGAAAGGACTTCATTGTTATACATGACCTGCAATGAAGTGCGCTGAACAACTTGAAGCAACACAGACATAAACCTTACCACGATGTGGTCTTGAAACTTTCGTTGCCGTAAATGTAACAAAGTGGTTCACAAAATATGTTACATAGCTGACCAATCTAACATAAATCCATGAACACGTTACTCTCTTAGAAAATGTATTATCTATATATACTATCAAATCAAATGTCTCGGAGAGGAATTCAATTCGAAAAATTCTTAATACAGCCTAGTTTGAACCCAGCGTTGGAGAAAATAATAAGCCTGCTACTACTTAAACGAAGAATTGATTCCGTTTCATATCTTGCGGCTAATCCAACTTAAAATGTGAAAGAAGCCGGAAGAAAATGTTCAATCTGCCTTGTAACAAGTCTGCTGGGTAATGCTAGGCACGGTGCGGTCTTAGGTGTGGTAAATAAGTATATAATTAAAGTCTATCAAAATGCAAAATGGTTCGATCGTTAGGGCAAATATATCCCCTATATCTTCGGTAGGGGGTAAAACTAACCATTTAGGCAGTGAATAAAACTCACCATTTTTGTTGGCAGCAGCGTTCTGTTCGTCAAGCGTGAGGTGTTCGGCTAGTTCGCTGAGGCTGCCACTGTCATGGTACCGAGAGAACGTTTGTGATAGACGACGGCGAATGCGGCGCTGCAAACTCATGGTTGGGAGGCTGTGGTTTGGCAGAGCTCGTTACAGCAGGCTGGTGGCACGGCGTCGCTACAGCAGGCTGGTGGCACGGCGTCGCTACAGCAGGCTGGTCGCACGGCGTCGCTACAGCAGGCTGGTGGCACGGCGTCGCTACAGCAGGCTGGTGGCACGGCGTCGCTACAGCAGGCTGGTCGCACGGCGTTGAGATGAGTGGACGCAACGCGAGACAGCCATCGCGTACGATTGAAGGATTGCGTTAGGATCAAAGTTCACGGGCCGGTTGGTTGACGCGCGTTGGATGACAGAGAAATGGAACTCGGGTTCGCGCCTTATGGGTAGGAAATTTATAACTGTGACGGAAACAGGAATGAGTGATTGAAGCTACGTGAGCTCAGATGCAAAGTAGATTGTCGTATATTGCGACCAAGTTATAATGTAGGCTCGCTGACGCTCTCATCATTTAGAGAAGCGTATCATGTCAAAAAAAGAAGAGCTGGATGAGGAATGCTGTCGATGGTTAAAAGTTTCAATAGAATAATCCTGAGATCTTGGTGGTGCTCGAGTGCGCTGTGCCGTTGCAATCTTGCAATATCAATTTTCAATATCTTGAATTTCTTAGCAGTATATGTGCGAATATGTTTTTAGTAATCTTGGTCCCTCAGTTTGAACATGAGGGCTCGGATGTTACATTACTATACTAACATTCAAGTATGTTGCGATATTGTGCAGGATAACACGAAGGTTGTCGCAGGTACCATTGTATTTGTAGACAGAGGAGGCGATCACTAGTGAGTGACGCGACTGAAATGCAGCTTTGGAATGCAAAGTTTGTGCATGGAAAGTATTTGAAAACTCTAATAAAATTATACTAAAACTTTGAGCACTGCACAAGAGGAATACTGACTCGTGGTTGTTCGGTAGAACGATGAGATCTCGTAACACACAATATATGCGAGCGCTTTCGACGACATTTGACGCAAGCTTCAATACATGTGAAAGGACTACTCACAATTACGAGTGATATGCTGAACACTTGTGCTTATATAGAGATATATCAACAAGATAAGTAGTAATAATAATGTATAAAATATTTCTGCACGGTAGTTGAACAACTGAATTCATTGCAGGCGATGGCAAGGGTCGATTTGGGCAGGGCTTGTTTCCATGTCACATCTGACAATGAAAACAACTTGATGAGCATTCTTCTTGTGCGCATCAATCACATTCAGAAGATTTCAGGGCAGTTTATTACTCCATAAAGAAGAAGTACCAAGGCATCTTTATTCATTTCTTTGTAAATGGGCAGTAATTATAAGCGTGTATGCCAATGATCAATACACGTTCCTGTGTATATATTATACTCCCAGAAACAAGTTAGTAATTAAAGGCGGCCAAACAACAGATGCTCATCTGAACTCGTCTATCAGCAGTTATGTAATGTTACGTTATTCCTGTATCTTGGCCACTCAACACTTGATCACAAGTTGCAAACTAGTATTTCAAGAGCACAACTTCATTGTTCATTTACTAAAATATCTTTCACAGTTGGTCAAAGTATTAAATGTACTATATCCAGGAGTATTATATGTAGTATAAAACTTGGTCAAACAAATTCAGGTTCATAAAACCTATCGTAAATTGTTCACTAATGTTCAGTGGTGCAGGCTCTTATCTGGCACAGAAACTTTAGCACTTTATCTCTACATTAAATGCTCACCCAACTATTTCTAGAATCACTGATATTTAATTGCTAAAAATTTGAGCACCTGAAGTAGATCATAGATTATGATAGATAGATCAACTTGGTAGCAAAAAAATTAACAAATCTTGTATTGCTTTGGACATATAATTGTCAATAATGAAACTATATTGAAGCACTCAATAATCTCTCTAGCACCACTAGCAATTTTTAAAGCAGCAAGCAAGAGCACATTTTCAGTTCACAACAACTTTTATAATGACTATTTAGCCAATGTAAGGCACAGTACAGGTAAGGAAGCATCAATATCTCTATACACTAGATCAATCACAGTGGTTCAAGTCTAAATTTTCAGCCAGCAACATAATCACTAATACCACTTATTTTCCAGCAATTGTCACTGAAACTTAATAGTTCAGAACAATACTTTCAAAGCATCATTATCATTATTGCATTTGGCTTTTGATATTATGTAGGAAGTCATTAGCACATTATGATGTCTGTACATAAAATCCTGAAAATATAAAAATATCTTGGTTAAGTTGATAAAGCACTCATTGCCAAACTTGCTTACCTTGTCCCCAATAAATACTGGTTACCCCTACCACCAGGGATACACACAACATCAACACAGAAACATCCTTCACTGCTCCACAACAAGTCAATAATTATTCCTGGTGTAATTTTCCACCAGCATCTTGCCAACAAGGTTTTAACAGAACAAAATTGATTATTAGGATTTTTGTGAATAAATAATTCTCTTTTCTCTTCAAATAATGAGCCTTGAAGACAAAATGTGAAAAATCCTTCGATGAAAAGAGATTGTTTTACTATTGCTACTTTTGGATTATTAATTAAACATAGGAATCCACTAAGTTTCACAATCATTAAATTCACAATCGTTTCATTCACAATCATTAAATGCTAGAAAATTAAAAAACTAAGATGATAACAGTAATGTAAGGTAAGTGATCTACATGCAACCAATTGCTGCATACAGTAACATTAATTCAAAGAAAGTGTTCTACATGCAACTAATTGCTGCATACAGTAATAGTAGTGGGCAGAAAGTGTCCAATTCATAAAAAGTTCTGAGGAAAAAACTGAAAATTCATTTTTTAGAGGCTTGCACTATAGGTGTTTAATTCCTGCATGTAATAAATTCTTACACTGGTTCCAAACTAAATTAGAGATTTACCAAATCAAATTAAAAATTTGGCAACATTTTAGCATCTGCAACTGTGTCTTCAGAAGCTCTTGCCAACACATTTCTCTACAAAAAACCATTTACGTGTATTTTAGGCACAAAATCTTCAAGGTTTAGTTAGTTCTGGTGGCTGGTGACATATCCACAATATTACCATTGACACTTTAAGCCTAAAATGTTTATCTTATGACAATTGTCAAACTAAAGGCCCAGTCTGATCTCTGTTGTTAGTCAAGAACAAAAACCATAGGACATTTTTTTCATAAATGAGAAATGCACTAAAATTGGCAAATTTTAGCAGGCATGGAATATTGAAAAAAATTAAAACCTTTCAAGATTCAACTAGAGACCACGTCCAAGAGCTATTTTGCCATTCTTGGAGTCGCAAGATTCCTGGCATTTCCTGTAAGAAGAAGGAACTCCATTCTTTTTGTTAACAAAAGTGCACCAACAGGCTGCAACACCTGCAAGATTATAAATGTGTTTAAAAAAGAAGAAAGTAAGAAGTATTATACAATATATTTATTTATATGAATTTTTGCAAATTTTTCCTATTGAAGGTTTAAATTGCACTTGAAGAATTCAATAAATGTGATCAGTACAAAAAATTTTTCTTTATAATTAAAATTCAGTTTCTGCAAATGAAAAATTAGAAACATAAAAATTTAATTTAATTAAATTTAATCAAGTTGCCAAAATGAATAAATATATATATTGATACTTCCAAATTTTGAAGAAAATGGGGAAAGAGCGTCAATTCCATTGTCCGAGTCAAAACCTTCATTTAAATGCTCATATTTCAATTTGTGGACTTTGCAGCTGGTGTCTGGTGATGCTATAGTATAGATAGAAATCATAGAATGATGGTCAGATAATTAGTGATTGACTGAGGCATTATAAGGATGCCTCAAAAACAAACATGAAGCCGTGGTGAGGCTTTTTGTGATGCGATTTCAAGTGATCATAAATGGTTAATGGTAACTTACCCGTGAAAGGGTTAATGAACTTGAGATAAGTCTAAAAAATTCTCTGCTTTGCCACTATGTTTAAATCTATGGTATTATTGCAGATTAACTACATCCAAAAAAAAGGGTGTTTTTTTTTTTAATTATATGTTTTTTGGGGTGTAGATTACGAATCTGAAATCCATTTTTGGCGGTCGGCATCGGAAAACCGATTTTTTGCAATAATACCGATCACACGTAGCGCACGACATCTTGAATGAAACTTACCCGTTGCACTGCAACGGGTAAAGAAGACAAAAATGTTACCCGTTGCACTGCAACGGGTAACATTTTCGTCTTCTTTGTCCATAAATCTGGAGATACATTGCCACATCGAGAGATCACAACCTAACGCCAACTCGCAGGTTGGGTTGGTTCGCCCAGGTTCCTTTTAGATCAAAATGCTATCTAAAAAAAGGAACTTGGCTGACTTAACCCAACCTAAGAGCTTTTTGTAAAATTTCGATGAACAATCCGACCCTTTATATAAAGGTGAGTGGGTAACGTAAGTTACGTAACCCCCATGTTAGTAAGTCGCGAAAAAAATCGGTTTTCCGATGCCGACCGCCAAAAATGGATTTCAGATTCGTAATCTACACCCCAAAAAACATATAATTAAAAAAAACACCCTTTTTTTTGGATGTAGTTAATCTGCAATAATACCAAATCTATTCTGCCATTTTTAAGAATCACCCATAAAACAACAGCTTTTACCAGCAATTTTTGGAAACTTCAGAATTCAGCCCAATATTTCAGGTAGTCTTTCTCACACAGTTAATATGTGACATTGGCAATGCCAATAGAGTGAATAGACTAGTTAAATTAAGTAGCACTTGGCAAAACAGAAGTGCAGCCTGCAAATCAAAATTCTGACCAGCATTATACAGTTGTTTATTGACAAGCAGCCAGTTAAGTGCAGTAGCCAGTAGCTGGCACCTGGCAGCTGCTGTGATGTGAGCCTGGCTGCCTGTGACTGTGACTCTGTGAGCTGAGTAGTGAGTGCTGCCTGTGGTTTGCAAGTGGCAGACTGGCAGTGGCAGTGGCATGTAGCATGGGGCCATGGCCCCATGGGCATTGGGCATGGGCATGGCCCATATGGCAACACTGAACAGTGAACACTGATGATCAATCAATCGGATTGAAGAAAGCCGAAAGAGTAATGACTCAGGAGTCAATGAGGGCACAAGTTTTGTCAATATAATTTACAGTGCTATTTTTTAAGAAAACTGAAATTACATAAACATGAGTTTTGAGTTGACATGTCAAATGAGTGAAATGACCAAAATTGTTTCTATAGTTAATCAATAACAGTTTATTATAATATAATTATTCTTAGGCATAGTGACAAACCAGGGATTTTTTAGAATCAGTTCATTTTTAATTTCCTCGTTTACCCTAGATTTAAACCAATTTCTTATGTATGATGATGCTGGTATCCAGGATACTTTACTGGTCTACTTATAGGACTCAAAAAATGAACTTGAGGGAGAGTCTAAAAAAATTCTCTGCTTTGCCACTATGACTATGTAATCTTAGGTATCAGTCATTTTATTGTGTCATTGTAAAGGTCCAGGAAATGGCTTAAATTGGGGTTTGCTTTGCTGCTTATAATCAATAACAATTAAACTAACACTAGCGACTAGGTAGTTTTACCTAGGTTATAGTTTTGTGCTCTCGAGTCTGTCTCATATAGCTATTATAAGATTACGTTTTACAAGTGATACAACTTTACTTCGTACGATATAAGTAAACTTAAAACATTTGACATAAAAATAAAACCGTTTGTTGTTACTTGTTGATACTCGAGTTATTTCATTTCAGCTACTTAGACGATGACTATTTCTGAGTTTGAAAAAAATTATTCTAATTTATAATTATAAGGGAGCAGGCCACGGCCAGCAGCATACCGACGATGATAATACCGTGTTTTTTTTTTTTTTTTCCTCTGAGGGAGAAAGCCAGTCGGGTTAAAGCAGAAACAAATCAAATAATAAAGGTTATGAATACTTATAAGAATCTGAATCAAAAATTTACCGGTTACTTTACTTTAGGGATCGCAATTCTCACACGTGCTTTCACGACGAACGCAACTGACTTTCTCCGATAATACCGTGTGCCTGCATAATTTTAGAAACCGATGAAAATTGTTGCACCTTTACTCGCATCCGCCAATGTACTTATTTTTTGCCACTCTCGTAAATAAAGAAGGCCGGATAGATGATATTTAAAATTATGCTGATTTTTACTCTCATTCCATAAAAAATTAGTAAATGGAGGAATTAACACATTTTATCTTGAATAGTTTAAATTTTGTATTTGCTTCGCCCACGCGGACGAAGACCTTGCCGCGCAGTGCTGAGCATCGAGAACAGGTAAGTCCTCAATAACGTCCAGCGCTTCCTGTGAGATGCTGTTAGCATTGGAGTAGAGGTCGAGATAGTGTTCAACCCACCTGCTCGGTCTTGCTGGAAATAGGCTCACCCGACATAGACCTCAGTAGTGCAGTTTTTGCCACTCGTCTCCAAGTCGCTAGCTTGATCCCTCGTACATCCTCCTAACATTGCCAGAGTCTGAGGCTCGCTGAATGCTGTCAGACAGTTGCAGCCAGTGGGTGTTTGCGCAGCGGCGAGTCATCTGTTGGGCCTGTTTCCGAGCCGCTCTTAGTGCCTGTTGGTTCCGCTGATTTGAGTCATTTTTGTACCGAAACATGGCTCTTCTTTTCCTGTCGATGTCTGGTTCCAACTCACCGATGTTGACCTCAAACCAGTCAGCACTTTTGCGCTTCTTTATGCCGTATGCCATGAGAGCAACGTAATAGATGGCACTGCGGAGAGCGCTCCACTCATCGACTGTTCGCTCTGCCCGTTCGCCAGAGAGCAAGTCGGCGAGATGCTCGACCAAAATTTGGTTTCTAGCGGGACAGGAGGCCTTGCTGGCATCAATTCTTGGCTGGCACTTCCTCTTAAGGCTGTGTAATATTTTTGGTCGAATTTAATGTTAAATATGACCAAGGAGTGGTCAGTGTCGCAGTCATCGCTGTGGTACACTCTTGTGATGCGCACGCTATTCAAAGAGTCGCGTCGTGTGATAATCAAGTCCAGCTGGTGCCAGTTCTTCGATCTTGGAGGTTTCCAGTATGCCCTGTGGCACAGCTTGTTCTGGAAAAACGTGTTCGTCACGCACATGTTGCGGTAGCAGCAGAATTTAGCAACCTCTGACCGTTTTCATTCATCTTCCCAATCCCAGTAAATCAGACCAGTCGTGGTCCGTCCCAACTCTGACGTTGAAATCACTTCCGAGGTAAATATACTAATATGCTCCGACAATGGGATTCTGTCAATGGTATTGCCACGAGTTCGTAGACCTGTATTTGGCGTCAGGCGATGCTTGGAGTATTGTTGCGTATACGCAAATGATGTTTGTAAAACCAGCCGAGGTTGGAAGACGCAGAGTGAGGATCCTCTTGATGCCACCATGCGTGGGTTCAATCATGCGAAGCAGGGTGTTCCTGACGGCAAAGCCAACTCCATGTTCCCCAGCTTCCCCGACACCTTTCCCTGCCAGAAGGTGTAGTGTTTCTCTTTCAGGGAGTCGAGTTTCCTGTAGCGCTGCTATATCCACATTTAGTCTATGCAACTCTCTGTCAATCACAGCGGTCTGACGAAAGTCTGAAATTACACGGAGGTAATCGGATAGGCCGGTGCGCATCGTACGCACGTTATAGCTTGAGATTCGAAGTGATAGACACTAATGGGGGACGATCAACCCTCCCACCGTCGAGACAGCCCGCGGCGTCCAACTCTACGCCAATTGAGCGGGGCTTGATAACCCGCAACTATCACTATAACCATCGCCTGCCGTTGTGCTATCACAGTCGTGAGGCAGGAGTGACCTCTCTAGGGCGCCGGCCTGGGCGGTAGTAAGGAGATCTTGCGCTGCCCAAACAACAGGATCTCCCCCTCGGTCGAGCCGACTGGACCCAAGGAAATGCAAGCATTACATTTGGAGCCGACTTGACTGCAGGTCTTAGTTGACAGCCAGCCGGCTTAGGAACTCCGACTCCAGATTTTTCCTCGAGGTTTACTCCTGAAGCCTTTCCTATGTGAGAGTGTAGCCGCAAGGCAGTGGAGGTTAAAGTAATCAGGGTTTTTCTTACCTTAGCTGGACAATCAGCCTTGACTAGCGAGTCCCATCAACCCGAGAATAATCACCGTGAACATTGTTAATAAAGTGCTGCATTGTAACAATCATTTGTGCAGGATCGTAGAATGTGAGCCACAATTTGAGGCGAACTTTGACTACCAAAGTCCCGCTGTGGCTATTATTTACTAACAGACACAGAAAAACATGCTCACTAGACCCTAGCTACTTAGGCTGCCAAATAAAACATAATTTTGCCATATATGCCGAGGATATTCGCTGCTAGCCACGAATATATGAAGATGAACAAAAATTAAAGCACCAAAAATTACTCCGAAAACAGTCTCAAGGTTCTAACAAATCCAGTAGTTTGAAGGTTGATGGCTGGGGTCCTATCCTTAATGATGAGGGCCTCAGCTATCATGAGTCGGTTGGCGTCGGGGCATCTCATGACGACGCTGGTGCATTCTTCCAGCACCGTACGAGTGATGGTCTCGTTGTCGGCTTCCATCAGGTGGTTCCTTGGTCCACCAGACTGAAGGTGGCACGTGAGACGTCGGCTCAATGTCGTAGTTATGAGCCCGATGTAGTCTATATTAGGGTCAAGTCTACAGCCTTCTCTATTGCAGTAAAATTTATAGACTACATTGGTCTCTTGAAAAACTCCCATATTTTTGCAGGGGTTGTTGTTCATTCTATGATTCTGTATTTTGTTATTTTATAATAGATTAGTCGTTTGATTTTATTGTTAATTACGCTCACGATGTTGTTGTGAACGGTAGATTAACAAAATTGTCAATAAAACAAATTCTCTGGTCTTCAATGAAACCTAGGGTATTATGGGTATTATTATTATTATTAGGGTATTATTATACACATTGAAAATCAAAGTTTGAACTACGAGAAAAGTTACCACTTCCTTATACCATACCCGATGGTATAATACCCTATGTTGTAAATTGAAAGCTGGAGACTCATGCTTGATGATGAGAGCCTCAGTCAATCTCTTTAATGCTTACCTGATATTCTACCGGTTGATGTGATGTAATATACCTAAATGATTTTTCAATGATTAACGCTGAATAGAAGAAGTTCACATCAAAATGACATACTGCGTGTAATGCAAAAGTACAATATGAATAATATTGGAAAAACAAACATACCGATACATATCACAATACCTACAGGATCAGTTGCAACTCCTTGCGTACCTAAAAGCATTTATTGACGCACAATGGCCTTATATAATTATTTAATACACAATTATTTACATGTGAGAACAATAGGCATAGACTTAAATTACATCATACTTGGTTGAAATGACTAAAGGTTCTGCCAGTGAAAAATTATTTGAACGTTTCAACACAAGAAACTAATAAGAACGTTCTTCCGAACATATTTAGTCGATACTTGTTCGCGAAATTCTCAAGTTCATTTGTCTGATTCTAATCACGTGTTTCAACTTCAATATGGAATTGGTACCAAATAACTGAGAATATTTGCGGTGCAATGAGTAACGTCAGACATTCATTAACAACTGCACGAAGTAGCACTGAGAATTGCAGGAATGATTGATGAGAATGAGAGGTGACAATTTAACGGTAGTTCAAAATAACAAATCAGACAATATAACAGGTAAGATCACAGGGTAAAAAGTATGATGAAAATGCAGGATAAGGGGTATAATGACAATGCAGGATCACAGATATGATGAAAATGAGACTAATATGAGGCAAGGTAAGCTCAGTGCCGCATGTAGTAGTCGATGATGGTGGAGAAAACGGCAAAACCCACGGCGCCAACCACACCAGCCTTAAGTCCAGCTGGAGGAAAAAGAACCATGACCAGGTGGATTAAAATAGATTAGATTCAAGTTTAAATCCTTTATTGCACACGAAATAAAAATCTATGTAAATCATCAAAGGGCTAGCAAAAGGACCCACACACAGAAGACGCGTCTGGCAATTCTTTTACAAGAAGGAACCATCCGACTTCTTTAAAGTTTAAACCCTCCACCGCCTGACATAAGTAACCGGAGTAATATTGTCACAAGCTTACTTCCCAAAAAGGATACGTTCTAGTGAACGAAAAATGACTTGAACTGATGGTTGCCGCCACATAAATGTTCTCTGTTGCGTAGAAATGTCCTCAGGTTGCTAAATTCAATATAGTTTAAGTATAATTAAAGTTGAAATTTATGTTTCCCGAGAGTGACATACGGCGGTAGAAGGTCAAATAGAATATTCTCAAAATACACTAATTAAACACATAACACTCAAAATACACCAATTAAACACAAAACAGGAACATTTTAAAATGAAAAAAAAAACGAAGTTCCTAACCTCTCAGCCCCAGCAGCCCCCCCGTCACGCCACCCGAGAGAGTGCCATTCTTCCAGTCCGTCTTGCCGCGGTACTGTAAGCAACAATCATCATTTGAATGCAAAACCGAGCTGAACAAAAACGTAAAAAGCATCTCAATTGTTTCGGCCATTGCCGGACAAAGTAAACCTCGCACGAGAGCACAATTCAGTTACAGTTTGTACATGAAAACTTGCATGTAAAGTACTACGTAGTTGGTCCAAAGCTGATATCCTGATGAGAGATGTTGAAATACAGGGTCATCAATATTTAGCGTTACATTGTTTTTTCAAAATCAATACACTCGCAAAACAGTCAAATGTGTCTGTCGTATGGAACCATGTCGACTGTTTTCCGGAAGAACCTAAAGTTGTCCTCATTCAAGCATGTCAAAAAACACCAACTGTCTGCTCAAGTTGTTGACAAACGCCTCCAAAGATCCAAGATTCTTCTTTCCCGCATTCATGATGGCACGCTGCCAAACCTAGTTTTCAGTGATGAGAAGATATTCAATGTTGAACACCACTTCATCTCCCAAAGTGATCGAATTTGGTCGAAGAATGGGACAAAGGATCCCGTGTGGTGACTAGGAAGCAATGCCCGACCTCAGTGATGGTCTGGGCAGCCGTAACAGAGTCCTCAAGGAGTCCCCTCTTTTTTGTTGACAAAGAGGTGAAATTGAATCAGAAGAACTATCGAGATGCCATCCTTGTTGGTGCATTGTTGCCCTGGGTACGAAAGCACTTCAAAAAACGCCCCTAGTCGTTCCAGCAGGACTCTGCACCATCCCATGGGGCCAAATCGACTCAGGAGTGGCTGTCCGAGAATGTTCCCCACTTCATTACCAAAGATGAATGGCCCCCATCGTCACCCGATCTGAATCCTTTGGGTTTTGGGATCTGGTCATACCTTGAGAACAAGTTCTCGACCGTTCACCATAGCAGTTTGGACGCCCCAGAGGTCAAACTGCTGAAGGAGTGGGCCAAAATCCCGCAGAGTGTCATTCGTGACTCGTGTAAGGCTTTCTCTAAGAATCTAAGAAACTCGTTATTGATGGTTATCTACAACTCGTTATTGATGCAGATGGTGGACATATTGCATGAAATTGTGGAAATTGTATCTCTGAACCTCTGCCTACCTAAATACATTTTTCAAACATTCACAATTGTGTTTCATTTCATAGTTCTAACCACTCAAATTTGTAACGCTAAATATTGATGACCCTGTAAACACAACAATATCACCATGAGCACCACTCAACATCACCATAGGCACCACATAACATCATAAGCACCACACAACATCACCATAGGCATCACAAAACATCACCATAAGCACCACAAAAGAAGCTCAACCTCGTCCCTAGTAAAGCTATACTCACTGGAAATTCTAGGAATGGAAAACAAGGAATGGAAAACAAGGAATGGAAACGGGAGCAATCCCTTAAGTCTGAAAACAGTCTGTGTGGAGTCAGTGCACGAGTCAGAAAGTAACACTGACACCGTATGTTCGGTTGATGAGCAGTCTCAAGAAACCAGTTAGGAGTCTCCTTCCGACACTGATACTGATAGTAAAATTACCAATCCCAAATATAAAACACAACCGGTTGATGAACTCGAAACTCTCCAGGCATTACTAAAGAAATTCGATAACATGATGCACCACATCTCGAAAAATTTAATGAATTTGAGGGACTACTTGAAGCATTTCGGGCGTTATTGCCAGGAAAATTTAAAGGAGATAGTAAATTTTAGATAGGAGAACTAGAGAAACTCAATGGGCAGACTTTAAGTGCACTCCGTTAGCTCAAATAAGACGATGATACTTACAACCAGGTTATGGGCAAACTACTTACATGGCGCCAAGATATGTGCGAACTTAGGAAACGGAAAACATGGAGGACTTCAATAAGCTGAGATATACCAAGGGCGAATCAGTACCGGTATTCTTATTTAGCAGTAAAATGGAGAAACTCTTCAAAATTGCTTATCCAAAGCACGAAATTCAAACTAACAACATAACGTACTACGAGAAAAATTTTGGAAATTCATTCCAAAAGTCTTTAAAAGAATTGTGGCCAACCGAATCATCAGTGACAAAATAAACAATAAAAAGGTAAAGTGGAGCTCTCTATTCATCAATGCGCTAGGTTCAAGGAGGTCGAAGATGAGAACGAGAAGAAACTGACTCAGAAAATGGAGAGAATTCTTACACAAGCAAAGATGAAATTGTTGTATGCACTAGACAAAAGCAGAAAAATAAAGATACGGCGACTCAAGATGATAGGACACTTACGAATTTTTTGCTTCCGGAAATTAGGTCGCGAAAAGGTTACTATCCTCATCAGGTGACAAACAACAACCCAAATTTTTCGGCCTTTGGACATATGTCACGACCGACACATTCTTCCGTACACCACATGACTGGACCCACACCGAAGTCATCGCGATAAGACTAGAACCCGCCTTGCTTCCAAAATAGGGACCTAAATTTTCAACCACAAGAAAGCCTCGCATCAGTTAATGAAACGTGCAGGAATTGCAATGGATTTGGACATGATATATCAAAGTGCAGGACTAAACACAATGCTTTTTATGCTTGAGGGAAGCAAGGACATCACTACAGAGATTGCTGGCAACGACGAAGAACATTTGCCCCGAGATTTCAGTCATAACAACAAGGAAACCGATACTGTGGGAGTGCAAGGCTATCAGACAAATCAAGCAACCTCACGTCCGAAACATTATAAAAAAATTATTTCAATGGAAGGCCAAAGATTGGGTCTCAGTCGAGTTTTTTAAGGGATTTGAAAATTGTGAAGAAACAATCGAACGGCAATTGGACTTAAAATTTTCTGCTGGTAAACACGGGTATTGAAGGAGAAGTTTTGAGAGAGCAAAGGTTCTTTTGCCAACCCAGCTTTTTTTCACCTTCGGCTTCTGTAGTGAAAATATAAGATCTGTTAATGATCAAATGTAGATCACTTTTCATATATCCAATTCACACGACTTGATAACTTACTCCGCGGCCTTCAGCCTTGCCTTCAGCCATGCTGGTTATTTGAATTTTCTCGCCAACGCAATGTACAGTAGACTTTCTATTATGGCAAGTGCGTATTAGTGGTTCCTAGCTACAGCTTCACGCTTGTTGAGATGTGGCGCCATCAACTACTATTGCTGGAATGTAATGCTGCACGCTTGTTGCAATGATCAACTTACACTTTCAATGGAGCATTCGACGGCGCTGAAGACGCAGCCAATGGCAGCAAAATTCTTTGCATACGAGAGGGTGGAGACTTTCATCTCACGCAAGACCTGTCAATTAAATCTTGTATGAGAGATGTACCGTATAAATTAGAAAAAAATTGTCAATTCCATCAAAGATAAAAAGAATTCCTACAAAGGCTCTTGGTTGAACCTACAGATCTAGAAAATGGCTTATTTGTGCGAGGGAAGTGAGAGAAAATGAATGATAATCACTAATCCAACAACTAGAAAACCGGGAAAAACGGAAAGATTTAAAAAAATGAGATGATTCATTATGACAAAATTATTTCATCAAATAAAATATAACTTGTATAATTGAATGCACCAATTGAACTGAAAGTGACACTTAAGATTTCTTGGCAGTGGGCAGTTCATACCAAAACACCATATCTTCCCAAGAGCTGAACTACGAGCCCGTGCTGATTGCAATCCTAACGTAGTACCATAAAGGTTATGCATTTAAGAAAAACAGTAATAATCAAGGCATAATTCATACAACAAATGATTCTCAAGATCTAACTTGTCTGGCTGATGGTGGCTCTTGGTCCGGAGCTGTGATGTTGGGAGAGATACTGGCAGAAAACAAGCCCAGTCCAGCCCCCAAAACAAAACCTGCAAAATGATCACGTTATTCCAACACCAATTAAGATAAAAAGTATGCCTAAAATCAGTGAATGTGGATTTATCTTGTAACAAGTATGGCTGATGTTTTACTGTTGAAAATGAATCTCAAGGTGAATATTTTTGCTTTTGAGCAGTGATAGATTGCTTGATTAAGTAATTTTGCAATTGTCATAAATGCATATGAGCCTATTGTTTGTTTTAAGCATGCAAATCAATGCAATGGTTGCAATTTATGAATTGTATATTGATACAGTACCTATATGTCTTTCAGCAAGGCTTAGCTCAATAGTGGTAGGTTCAAGATGGCCAAGATGGCGAAATCAGCTGTTGAGCATTGATATATATTTCATGTAGCTAAAGAGTGAAGAATTTTGGCATTAGACAATCATAATCATAAATGGTACCGCACTGTAACCGCACTGTAGTATTAGATGGTAAAATTTTCTTTCTTATATGGGTGTAATTTATGACCAGAGAATGGATATAGGTACAATTTTCAAGGAGTCAAACAATTCTTTAGATGGCAATTGTAGATCAAATGGCAGGTTTATTAAGTAATAATAACATATTAACGATGTTTCAAATGTTGCAACATTCATTTTCAAGGTAAGAGAAGCATTGAACATGAAGTTTTGTTTGACATATGTACATAGTACATGTAAATTGGATACAACAGAAAGACCCTCTGCAAACAATCTGAAAGTTTAGGCAAATCTGGTAGTTTGGAAATAGATTGCTGGGGTCCAGCCCAAAATGATGAGGGCTCCAGTAACCATTGGTCGGCTAATGTTGTGCACCTCTGCATGATGACGATGCTGGTGGGTTCCTCCAGCAAAGTGCAAGCAATGGTCTTGCGAGTTTGTCTCATGGAGTTCCTCTGCATTCCAGACTGTAGATGGTAGGCGAGACGGTCTCAATGTTATGTTGTTACTCAAATTACTCCAATGTAGTCCAAATGATGAAGAAATCTACAGCCTTCTTTGAAGCAAAATTTATAGACTACACAGCCTTCTTGGAAAACTCTCACTTTACTGCAGTGTCCACTGTTGCACATAGTCTAGAGTTTGACATTGTTGTCATGGGTGTCACCAAACTTGTTGAATTCATCAAGTATTTCGAGATGAAGATGCTTGTTTGTAATATTCAATGTTGTAGTTGCTAGTCCAATTACACTAATCGGAGAACTCCCGTTATTTTGATGGGGCCCTGTCTGCATATAGAGTTTGGGGTTTGATGTTGTGGTCAATAGGGTCACAAAGCCTGTTGAATTCATCATGAAAATTGTAATGCATTCTCTGGTCATAAATTGCACTCATATATATATAAATATAATATACTGGCCTGCCCCAGCAGAAAGAATGGCTTTAAAAGGACAGCTGTCCCACACTGCCATAATTTGCTTCTCCTGGTCAGTGCGCATCACGGTGGGGATGAAGGTACGTGGGATGATGACATGGCTGCGAGCCCTGCCAAAATTGCCGACAAGTTCAACCCCCACCTGAAAATAAAAGTGTTTTCTAAAAGAAATGTAGGTATGCAAGTTGATGAAATGGCTGGAAAACCTGATAAAATTGTCAACAGGCAACAGGTTCAACCATCACCTGAAAATATACATTATTTCTACACATGTTGTAGGCATGCAAGATGACATGGCTGCTAGGCCAGCTGAAATTGCTGACAAGTTCAATACTAACCTGAAAATATAAATAATTTTTAGATCAAATGTATGTGTGTAGGATGATATTGTGGCTACATGACATGATGTTGTCAAGTTCAAACCTCACCCAACAAAATAAATATGTAGGTATATGAAAAGACAACAAGGATTATAGTGATAACAGCATAAAAATGATGTAAAAACATTCATGAAATAGGCAAACTAATGAGGTTTTTAATGATATACCAGAAAAATCCATACAGAATTTAGTTAATCATTTCATTATCCATGCATTTCTTTATGTCAGTGAGCTAATATTTTTAAAAACTTACTCCTTCAGGCTTACCAAGTCCAGCTCTTCTTTGGTGAAAATTTGTTTGTGAGGTTTGTGCATTTTATTTGGATCAGGAATTGCAGTTGCAGCCATGGTGCTCAATTATTGCCAACCTTTAGATAGCAAATATCCTCATAAAACTATGGCCAATGTTCAGAATAAGACTTCTTGGCAGGAAGATCATCTGTTATCAAAATGATCTATGGTAAGGAACCAGATTACTACCTGGTGCTTTATAAAAATTTTGTGACTTCAATTTTATACTTGCAAGACTTCTAAACAATCTTTTTTTAATAGTAGTATTTGTAGAACTATGCAACTAGCTTTCTATAGCAAAATATAACTGAAGAAGTGTTATGAAATACCTACATTAAAAAAAACAAGATTAGAGGATATTGATGGCAATAGAATTTGAAAACACCTCAATGAGTATCACTCATTGATGATTCTGCTAACTCAGCAGCACATGTACCACTGAAAAATTAGATTATTCTTGACTTGTACAAATCAAAATCCAAAAACTGACTAAATTGAAACTTGAATCAGGACATGCATTACTATAATTGTCATTCATGGTAGAAGCATTGAGCACAACAAAATATCTTACTGTAACTTCTTAATTAATGCCATAGCATATTAAACTCAGCACTACAAAATCTCAAATACTGGCCAAAAATTCCAGGTTTTAACATATGGTTTTACTTCTGTTTTTTTGAAAATTATGGGCCAAAATAATATGCTAAAATAATTTTGCTAAAGAAATTAGTAGGTGCAATAGGAATAGGTGACATTGACAGGGAGCACAAGCATTTCTGTCTCATTAATGAGTGGCTTGTTTGGCTCCTGTGGACTGCATATCTGAGCATTGTTCATTCTAGGAGTACAAATTTTTCTCCAATTTGTAGTTAATAAAATAGAGTTCATGCAGCTCATAGTTCAACCCATTGGTACTGAACTGCAAAATTGGGCAGAAGCTATCTGAGAATTGGGCAAAGATGCCCTTGAATTTGACCAATTTCACCCATTCCTATGGACTTTTCAAAATTTCTGCCATGAAAAATAAGAATAATGTCCTAATATTACCTGTGCTTTTACCCACAATTTCAGGAAAATTCTTTGCAATATTCCAGATTGGCATTAGAAGTCAGAAGCTGTTTCAGCCTGAGCAAGGCATGGTGCAATTCTATAAGTATGTAAAATAAAAACATACTTATTTGAGATATTGGACTGATTGATGCTCCTTCACAGACCACTCCATAGCACACTAGCACTGCCTATCACAAGACACAACCACATATGAAGTACACAAAAGACAGTGTCAGCCAGCAGCACCAGCACTTCAAAGGGCAAAAAATTTCAATTAGTTCAAATAAGAGGCCATAGGGTATAGTATAGTATCTTCGGCATTAAATAAATAGGCCTGGATAGGCCTGTCGCCGATTCTTGTACTTTTCTTGACTATACTGGCCTTTTGATCAGATCTTTTCAACGGACGGTAGATTTAANTGAACAGGGGTGTCACTTGGGCTTCTTTCCAGTCGGCCGGCAAAGTCCCTTCGATTAAGGTTTTTCGAAAGAATACTGTTAAAGGGCCGGCCAGGACGGTTGCTAATTCATTGAGCAATCTAGGGTGGAAACCGTCTGATCCAGATGACTTGTTGGGATTCAGGGTATATTGAAGTCAGGTTTCAAGTGATTAAGTTACTAAAAAATATTTAAAATTTATGTTTCCACATAAGTTTCAATACTGTTGACATTGAGAAACTTCAAATTATCTCTTATCATATATACTTGTTAAATAAATTATAATTTGACTAATAGTATAAGATTTGTAGCAGACAGACAAACAAACATACAAGAAGTGAAGTTAAAGACAAGTGTTATAAAAATGAACTGATTCTAAAAAATCACTGGTTTGCCAGTATGCACTGGCGACCTGGGCTGGTTGATGTCTTGATGGCAGTCCATTGTCCGCAAGTTACAGTTTGAGCTAAAGTTAGCTTAGTCAGGCCACCAGGGTATGAAGTGATGATTCGAATTTCGATGCAACGTTCACGTCGTTCAGTGGTGGACAACCATTACTCTCTGGGCTATTTGCTTCAGAATATGGTGGCTTAAGCTCCTAATATTTAAAGCAATATGATGTCACGGGCTGGTTACCGACAGATGGCTTAATCCTTGGCTGATTGGTGGTCACATCCAGAAATATGCTAGACATTCCTTTCAAGGCTGATTGGTGCACAAATTTGGTGGTGCACGGCTGCCTACCCGTACACATCACAACTGATTTCCAGACAAGCTTCACTGCATCCTGATCCATCTGGCATACAGGAAGTGGAAACCTTACTGTGGGCACTTGCAGATGCAGTCTTTCAGATTTGCAGTAAAATTAAGTAATTTCTAAAATGCAATAATTTCAATCTAAATGTGTCGGAAGGATCTTCAGAAGGCATGAATTTTTACTGCCGATTCTTTACCAAATATCCTTCAATATTCACCTACTTTCTATTTTCTGTCTTTCTGCACCCTGGACCTGGAGCCCAGCAGCATGGAATTCTGGATAGGAAATATATTCTCACAGTTACATAAAAAAATGGATTGGATCATTGATAGGCCTACCACGTTACACCTTGTGAATTGTTGTTGTTGTTGGTTGCGACCGTCACGCACGCCGGGGGGGAGGCTCTGGTGGCGGGCGGGGGGCCAGAACCGGAAGAGGAGGGAGGTGGGCGAAGGCAGGGAGGGTGGCTAGGAAAGCCGCTTTGCGGGCCAGGGTTGGGGTGTATACCCTGGGCCAGGAGAAGAAGAACGAGCAGGAAGAAGAGATGGGAGGAGAGCAGGGCACAAGGAGCCCTTAGGAAGATAGGCGGCCAAAGATGGGGAAGAGGAGGCCGAGGTTCCCCTGCCCTTATCAGAAAAAGTGAAGGAGCCTCCGTCCGGTAGCGATCCGGGCGGGGGGGCCTCTGCCGTTTGGCCTTTCCCACGTGAATGCCGGGTAACCGGCCGACGCATAGGCCAGGCTACCCCCACGACGAAGACGTGGCAGAGATCGGGGACCCTTGTGAATTCACAGGCTTGCGCTGCAATGCCAACTGCCGAGCCTCAGCCAAGGTAGGACGTAGGTGTACTGTGTAGCGTGTACACTGAGCCTCTGAATAAATGAATCTGACATTCCTTTCAAGGCTGATTGGTGCACAAATTTTGTGGTGCTTGGCTGCGTAAGGGAAAGCTTGAGTGCATGGGTCAGGTAGAGTTATATATATAACTGTGATTTTGAGTGTCACTGAGTGACAAAGTAAGTTTGCAAGAAGTTAGATGAAGTTTGAAAGAAAATCTTGCAATTTGTCAAGGAATCCAAGAGTATGTAATTTTTACAGTCTACTAAGTAGTAAGTACTAATAGGCTGTGTTTGGCAAATAAGTCAGTACTGAGGATAGGGTTAACAACATCAGCTACCACGAAAAATAGCACCGGCCTGTCACCGATTCTTAACATCACAGAACATTCACAGCTTGTTGCGGTCTCGAACTCTCAACTTAGGGTATGTACTTGGTGAAAGCAGGTTCTCCCGCGCGGGCAACCTGCTCCAACCTGCCACAAGAATGAACATAGGATAATAATATAAGCGTTCACAGTGAAAACCTGTATGAATAATGAATAGGCTTCTGCCTGCAATGGAGTACGTCAACCTGCTTATACCTATTTACCATGATGTACACCATGGTCAGGAAGATGTGCCAGGTGCACGGGAATTTATTTTGTCATTTTAACAACCTGCGCGGTGCGCCGTTTTATGCTGGTAAAGAAATGCGCTGTGCGCCGTACTTTAGAAAGCTAAAATAGTTCTACTATTTTAGTCGACGATATACGCGAGTATATTGACTACGCGAGTCGAACTGACAATAATAAAATGTAAGACATGTCCGGGTTACTTCTGACTGGTACTGACTAAAACCCGGACCCGGACCGGTCCGCCAGACCCGGACCGAGTGACTAAAACCCGGACCCGGACAGGTCCGGCGGACCAGGTTCAAAAAAATAAAAGGCTGCAAATCATCTGAAATGTCGAGAGAACTTTTAATTTTACATATAAAATTTTTATATTTACTTAGAAAAATTTCGTCGCACCAACATATTCGGGTTGCAGAAAAGTTCACTTCTCAATCGAACTAATCGATAGAGAATCTTCTGAAACGTCCAGAAAACATAAAAAGTTGGTATTGAATTTTCGAAAATTTACTTAGAAAAATTTCACTTCAGGTCCGGGGAGCCCCGGACCAAGTGACTAAAACCCGGACCCGGACCCATATATTCGG